ACCTTCCTACGCGAGTTGTGAAGCTAGTGAGCATGGCCTTTGACGAAACTACGATTAGAACCAGCCATTCTATAAGATTATCGGCGTGTCGTGAGGTGGGATATGTCATTCTCCTATTGCTTGAGTGAGCACATTGGGCGGTTAGCCTGGCTTGGTCAGTTGGATACATCACCTATCTAGCGGAACTTATGAAATTCTACCGGAATAAGGAGTAAGAAATGTCACAAAGCTGATCGCTTCATCGTGCCTCTAATCTCATAGTGCCGGATCCGCTTTCGGCACTAAACATGCGTATTGACCTCGATGTGAATATTACGATGAGCCAAGAGAGACAGTGGAGAGATTACGACCTGTTCCCTCTCCTCAGGTCACAATAGCTTGTGATCAGTGCAACCGAGCTCAACCCCGAGCCCACGTCTGTTCCACTTTGCTGATAAACAATTAATGAGATATGTATCGATCGGCTCGGCGTATGAACATAATGAAACGTCAGAAACCGTAACAACTGTTTCCGCAGGCTACCGATACGCTCTGTCGGTTTTCCGTTCTCCGTCGGAGCCGCGTCAACGAAACCCCGAGCGAATGACGAGGAAGTGGACTTGATTGATTGTTCCTCGAGGTAATTCACGATCTATTGACACAGTTGGTCGTTGCTTCCGAGGCGTCGGTTACAGCTGATGCCAACCCATCTCCCCTGTAATTCGCACACATCGAATCAGACAAATAGCGCCATACAAGTCGGGGCTCCCGTTTCCAAATAACGCGAGTGAGCTCTGTCGACTATGGCACAAAGGAGCCGAAGCAAACATGATCTAAATGAAAGATAATAGGATCTTGCTTTGACTCCATATCTGCTTCCGTAACATTCTGCATGTCTAGCTGCTGATATCTGCTTCAAACTCAGGTGCGTGCTTAGCAAGCTAGCAGTTAACTCCCTGAAGTAAGCAGATAGGAGAAGCTTTCCATGGGGTTGATAGACAAAAAGGGTTGTGTGCAGAGTGATCTTTGCGAAATATTCCAGCGTTTCCCAAGTCAATTAAGACCATCATGGCACAGGCCTAGTACAACTTGAGCCCTCCGCGAGCGACCAGCGCGTCTCGCAGCCGTCGGCGTGATGTTTGACCCGCCGCAAGTCCGCGCGGGTGGCCGTCATGGTGGCGAGCCTAGCCAGCAGAATACCGAAGGCCGATTTCAACATATCGATTCACTGTGCGATTGAAGAAATCGGGGGTATTCCACCTGAGCTTAAGAGCGAGTTGATCGTCAACGACAACACAATATCACTAGCAAATGCGGTTTTAAGTAGAAGTACAATGCTTTCGTATACACCACGCCGAGCGTTCTTCGTCACACTGGCAATCATCGGTCCGTCCATCCCGATTTCGGGTGCTTTAAACCAGCTTTAAACCAGCTTCGGCCAGGCACAGGAACTCGGGATATTGTGATTCAATCGGGCGCGGAGAGGCTTTGCATTTGTTCCCGTATGCAATGGAAAGACGATGCGACTCATGCATGTATATCAGTCCATAAACGGCTGAACATGCATCCCTTTCGGACGCGGGGCCGAGATGCGGGCGTCAGGCCGCCTCGTCCTTCATCAGGAACAGGGTGATAAACGTCATTTAGAAGATTTCATCTTCAGAGGACGCAATGAAAGTGACCTCCCATCAATTTGCCGCATCTGACGACCGCGATGACTTGACCGGTTGAGAAAATTGGCGGGCCGCTAGGATCAAGACTTGGTCTTTTCGACTGAATCGGTGAGCTTAGCCACGAGTCCGATGAACAAGGCGAAGCCCACAGCGACTACGTTTCAGGATTCCCAATCGCAAGCCGTTAGGAGTGCTTGAAAAACTTCCTGCGAGATGCAGACCAAAGATGGCAATGCCGTTAAGCCCGCTCGGATTCAGGGCGAGTCATTAGGACGAGGAAATCTTGCGAGAACCCAATGGACCATTTGTCGGCGGCGCCGTGTAGAAACTTTGGAGATCGACGCCTGACCAGCGTTTGAAGCTTCAAACTGTCTCAAAGGCAAGACGTAACTGACGCTGTTAGACTGCAAGCTCCTCGTCCAACTTTGCGGCCAGGTCTTCGATTGAAAATCATCTTCGCGCCTTGACCCAAAATCGTCTCATCGACCTTTCAAGTTAGCCTCTAGACACCATCGCGCAGAGTGTGCACCTGTCATTATCTTATGCCACACCATTAAGAAAGCGACGAACGATGCCTGATGACGTCCGCGTCATGGGCGACGGTGATCTTCCCCAAGCTCTGATGGGCCTGCTAGTCTTTGGCGGTCGAGAGAAAGGGCGCAACGCCGGTGCCAGTGCCGAGAGAAAAAGGTTCTTCGAGGCGCACCTGACCACATGGCAGCACTTCGACTCGTTCTGTCCTGGGCGACGCCAACGTGGTATCTCATGAGCCGAATTGCAACTGAAATATGGCGCACATGCATTGCAACACGCCAGCAACCCCGCGCGATGACGACCTTCTGTTCAGAGGCATTCCTGCTGGGAACAAGCCCAAATCGGCTGGTTGTTGCTAACCCCATGCCTCGCGATCAAGATAATATCGCCAAACGCCTGCTGCGCGAAGCTCATCCACCGCAATTGCTCCCGTCTCGCGGATGGTCCTGACGGATTCGAAAGGTTTCAGTGCTAGGATGCCAGGGACAGCCTACCGCAAGTAACGGGCTTCAACTCATTCTTCGCAGTAGAAAAGATATTACCTTTTGTTTACCATTAGTTAGGTAGCGCCGCGCGCTGTCACGCAATTCCCAAGAAAAGGCCCCAACCGCCACATTCAGGATAGTGCCGCGCTTATCAGCACCATCGACACGTTAGTATTGGGAGTGACGTAGGTCATCAAATTGCCGCTCGTCGAAGCTCAGTAAGCTGCATAACGAGGGGCGCAAGACGCCTTTTCTTAAGTGCATGCTTCCAGCTTCAATAGCAAGATCATCACCACTTTGACACCAACTTGTGAAGATGATGTTTTTATGGAACATTGCAGACTGCGTTTTGGGAAAGCGCTGAGATGCTCCGGACATTCGGTAGTAGGTGTTCTGAAGCTGAAGCGCAAGAGACCTCATCGGCTGAAAAGTCTGATCTTAAATGGCGAAGCTCGTGGAAACATCGGATTCCTTTAGGAGCAGCAAATTCAGCCGGTGTCCTGATGCAATTCGAGTATGGCGAACTCCTTGATCAAGAGTGGCAGTTCTCTAGACGCGCTTTCGCAGGAGATGCGTCTGGACAAAGAGACTCCCATTAGCACCGTCTGGATTTCCGCTGCAAAGCTTGAGATGCTGGAAGAGATGTTAGTGGAAGGGACTAAGAAAATGAATCAAGCATAGCTCAGCTAAATGCAGATCCTTGATGCGTTCCCCGCGCGCAAAGTGGTCATGATGAGCATAATGGAGATTGCTTGCAGCTTGTCACTATGTCTTCTGCCTCTGACTTCTGGTGGCCCAAACCGCTGGTCATTGGGTCGCGATCGTGCAAGCCGCTCCTTGTGTACTAAAGACAAATATTTTAGGACCACATAGGAAAGAGTCGTGATGGCGTGGCGTTGCCGGTGCGTATCGAGGAGGATGAGTATAGTGATTCTCAAGCCTGGTCGGATAAGGATGTGGGCCCCAGTTAGTAATCTTGTAAGATTATAGAGAACGACATTGACACAGAAACACCTTCCTTCCCCAGCTTGACAAAATGATTACTGATCTCTTTAGAATGGAAAAGAATACCGTCTTCCGTGAAGGCCTACGTTAGGCACAGTGAGGCCTGGCGCTGGGAGTATCTCAGTTCATGTTGCTGCATGACGCGCTGGGACGAACGAAAAAGCGGTGAAAGCATGAGTTTGAGGCGATATGTAATGGCAGCAGAGGCTTGCTGTCGACCATTCTTCATTGGCGTCAATGAGATTGGCTTCAAAAGTGAGTGTCGCAGAGAAAGGAACGGTCCGTTCTCCGTAAAATGGAAATGGATGGTGTCTCACTTAGCACGAGCTTTGACAGACGAGAGCTGAGCAAAGCCCACATGGCCGGGCTTTACGATAATCTTCGTACATCATGAATTAGCTTTGGCGCCTGCCTCTCTCGAAGTCTCGGAATCTGAACCTCGCTTCCACTCATCGCGGAACTCTGCCGAATGACACGTAGGATGACTTTCTAGGCATGAACAATAGACCAGCTAGGGCTTGGCTGACATAATTAATTTCTCAGTTGTCATTCAGTCGGATGGCGGCATTGAACGTATGTGCCAAGGGAGGCCGTCTCACGTCCCGCGGTGAAGGATCAACGGTCCTGCACGGGCTTCAGAATGATTGATCCGAGGGATCACGGAGGAAAAATCCGAAAAGTAAAATGTATTTACTGCTTGCAAGTTGCCTCCCAGTGGGTATTCGAAAGGTGATTGTGGCATATGGAGGCGCCGACGGGATTGCACTGGTAGTGGTGATACGGAATGCCTATTCATGACCGGAAGTGTCTTTGTTGCTGGCTTTGGTATTCGTCGAGGAAATCGGGGATCCCCCTGCCACGACATGAGGGTTAAACTGCCGAGGAGACCTTCGTATTTGGGACCGAGGTAGAGAAATCGGGTTGGGACGCGGCGCCGATTGCTCGGAAAGGCGATGATCTCGGCGTGCTTGGGAGAAGAGAATGAAGAGTTGTTCGAGAACACCAGGACTGTCGTTGTGTTAGTGAGCGGGTCGTTGGTTTGGTTCAAGGGAAAGTGCCCGAGGTCAGGGAGAGTGGGTGGCGCTTACGCTATACTGGTCTGCGGGATGCTCGGGGAAGGCAGGGTGCTTGTCTTCTTACAGTGACCGACTGCCGATTCCAGCGATCAAATCGTCAGGTGGTGCCTGACCCTGAAGGAGATGTCACAAGGCCCGGGCCGGATCAATTCTCCCTTGCTGCTCGGCTAAAAGTTGAAACGCCACACAAAGATTCTCAGGTCGAGCTATCAAAGCTCTTTGAGCCGCGCAAGCAACCCGACGGTCAGATGAAAGAGCCAAGACGAATACTGATCCGCGGTCGTGCTGGAGTCGGGAAGACTACTCTGTGCAAGAAGATCGTACACGACTTCGTTGAAAAGGAGATGTGGAACAATCTGTTTGCTGGCGTACTCTGGGTACTGCTGCACAACCTGAAAACGTGGAACGATCCAAAGCACGGTCTGACGGGTATGCTTCGTCATATCTATCTACAGCAACATCCAGACGACGCCTCTCTGGCCAGCGCCTTACAACAGTATGTGGAGAATTCCACATCCCGCGGTACCCTTTTCATCCTCGACGGCCTGGACGAAATCTCCGAACTTTTAGACAAACGCAACCCATCCATGTTTGATTTTCTTGTAGGGCTGCTGAACCGGACGAACGTCATCATTACGACCCGGCCGCACGTCTCGCTTCCGTATGATTTCCAGAAACCTGACCTGGAGGTGGAAACAATCGGCTTCCGCTCCGATCAGGTGGAAGATTACCACGAAGCAGTTTCGACTCTGGCAGTATCCGAAAATATCCAATCATTCCTCCAGAAAAGCCCGCTGATGCGAAGCCTCCTCCGTATCCCGATTCAGTTGGACGCACTCTGCATTGTTTGGGACAAGACTCTGGTAAACAATGGCGGGTTCAAGACGATGACCCAAGTCTATGAAGCTATTGTGGAGCGGCTCTGGAGGAAGGATATCAAAAGATTGAAAGAGTCACAGCCGCATATCGAGGCGTTGTCTTCGTCCGAGATTGAGGACCATACCAAGCAAGAGATTCATATTCTTGAGTCTCTAGCTTTTAGCGGCATGCACAGTAACCTGATTGAGTTCCAGTCAGTACACCGCGAAGCTGTTCGAAAGTTTGTACGTTCTTCGCAAACTAGCTTGCCAGTCTATGAAACCATGGGACGACTCTCATTTCTGAGGACATCGGATGGGTCAGCAGACCCTGCTACCCGAAGCCATCATTTTCTACACTTGACCTTCTAGGAGTACTTTGCTGCCAAATACTTTGTGCGAATGTGGTTGGATAAACAAACGCTACAATGTGTTGATTTGAATCGCCGGGAGAAAAGCTACAAAGTCTCTCCAAAGGAGTTTCTCAGAAGAAATAAGTACACTGGACGGTACGATATTATGTGGCGTTTCGTTGCTGGATTCTTAAGTGAACATTCAAAGGAAGAAGGCGAAGATGAGCTGGAGCACTTATTCAAAGAGATTGAGCAAGAGCCTGTCGATGTTTTGGGACCAGCACATCAACGCCTCGTCATGCATTGCTTGAATGAGGCACTAAGATTACCGGATAAACTTCGAAAGGACATGGAAGACAAACTACTCGACTGGGTGCTGTTTGAGAGAAGCATCACAAGATCATCAACGTTCATTAGAGAATCAGAGATTCCAGAAGGAGTGTTGCATCGCGCCTTGAGAGCTTCTGGAGATAAAAGAGTCTTCTTGGACGTATTAAGGTATTCTCAGAGGAATCTATCAGACGCAACCATGGCCGCCCTTGTGGAACTCTTCAAGCACGAGGACAGCGACGTACGAGAGTCCGCCGCTGAAGCTCTAGGCAACCATTCGACATTATCAGACAAAATTCTTGATGCATTAGGAGCACATGTCCAGGTGGAGGAACACGTTCAGTCGGCCCCGAGTAGGTTACGTCGTTCTGAAGACCTTGAGTCTTTCTACGAAAGGTTTTTACGACGCAGCTTCAGAGAGAATTCTAGTCTTTACGCTGATGAAAGAAGCTGTACTATCAATGAAGGGTCTACAGTCAGGAAGGCGACGTTACAAAACCATCAGTTCCAGGAGGCAATTAGGAAAGCGCGTGGCCAGTTGGACACTGCGTCTTACAATTTGTGGGGTTCTCCTCCATCGCAAACCGGACATCATTAGTCTAATGTCGTCTTTCTCTCCTCGTCGACACCCTCGTTATGGCTGGGAGCAGCAGCAGGATAAGAAACAAGATGGCGTTGAATGTTCTTTTCCAAGGCCACAGAGGCAACTATCAACCATTACTTGGCAACAGAATGGGGTCATACACTGAAGCGTTTCACCAATGGTGTTCCAGCCTCTTTGCCATGCGCAGCCAGACTTTATCTGGGTGATCGCCCGGGCAGTACACGTACACGCCTTGGCAGGAAAGGAGCTATTTATTACCACTGCATATCTACCAACACATATCAGGTCCTTACCGATACCCACCTGTGCTGAACCTATCTGGGTTTCTGATCACGTTCTTCTAGTGCCCGCTACTCCGTCTTAATTCGTCACTTGGTCTGACTTTGGATTAGGCAGGTGCAGTGATGGTATGTCTTAGGATGAGATTATATAATAACTTAGGCTCGGGAATAGTGCAGGTAGCCTCTTCTCTGTTACTTTCGTTTCCTTCTCGACCCGCGCGTTTGCAGAAGCTTTTTACACTGAGATAACAGACGAATTCTGTTTTATTGCAGACTATATATAGCTATAGAACAGCAAAATATGCCTTTCTTCACGATAGTAGAAGGCCTTCGAATAACTACTATCCAGCAAGGCCTGGACAGTTCAGTGACTTGCTCAACAAAGCAGACACGAATCCTTGTATTCATAAGATCTCACCGATTCTCTTCCAATACATTATGATTGATAATCAAATTCATAGTAAGGCCTCAGGTTCGCACTCCACCGTTTGTATAGCAAGCGAGCGTTTGTATAGTGGAGGCAGGAGCCTTTTACGGGCAAGTGCACCTGCCTTCACGAATTCCATCAGCCGCCTGGAAACTCATGGAATCAGATAAATGAGCAGGGCAGCTAACTTTTTTTTTGAAAAGAATTCAGGTTCCGCTTCTTGCAAACAGCACCTCAACCTTAGTGACAATAACAACACAATGGCGACTTTCCAGCCAATATGCGCCAACCGAGCGCCAGACAAAACCAAATGCAACAACACTGGCAGGTTCGCTTGCAAGAACTGCCTTCTCGTCACAGTGGGCACCGCATTCTCCATGGAAAGATCTCGTCTCTATCTGCTAACCCAGCCTTCCTCCAGTACTGTGGCCCTGAGTGTCAGAAGTCTCACTGGACTATGCACAAACCCGACTGCAAATCTCACCTTGGAAGGGAGAGCTGGCAGCCTGACTGGGTCTTGGAGAATCGAGCTCCGGCCTTCATCGGGAATGGTCCTCCGCAGGTGACCTATGGAGCTGGGAGTTACCTTTGGGGCAACGTTCCAGCTTTTGACGTACTCCGACTTGGCGCAATCGAAGGCGTCTCCTACAATGAGCAGTTGCGCCTCTTGTTTGCCGATGAGTACCACAATCTGCGAGCTTTGAGATGAGTCTGACTTACCACACATAGCCTCCGGAGACCTTCGAAATGTTGTCAAGACCATTGCCCAACTCCCCGATAGCTACACTCAGCCTATTGAGGTGACTATAAACGACTGTGATCTGAATATTGTCGCTCGGAACGTCATCATGCTTCTCATCAGTCTCGTAGTGGACGATGTCGACATTGCGGCCGACTGCATCATCCACGTCTGGTATTCTGCCCTCCTCTGCAAATCCGACCTCGATATGCAGCATCGCATCCGCCCAGTCCTCGAGGAGGTCTGCCACAAGCTGAAGGGAAAGGGTGCTGACACCCTCCAAGCAAAGACCTGGACGTTCGGCCAGCGGTCGCTGAGACTCGTGCTGAAAAGGTCTGCGTGGGACGACCTCTTGTCCTTCACGGACACCCCCAAGGGCCTGACGGCTAATCGGGCACATGAGATTCGCAAAGCCGTCACCCTCGCCGAGAGCAGGAAGGACTATCGTGATCGTCACCTTCTGCTCCAGTCCCCGTCCCATCAAATCGCCCTAACACGCTTCCGCGAGGACAGACTTCTGCTTCCGTTTGGAGCTGCGCGTGATGCCTTTCGGCACCCCAACCCGTGAGTAACAGATTTTCTTCATCAGAGGAATGGAATATGTGGCTAACAAGCATTAGAACCATTTACCAGGAAGCGAGTTGGCCCATGTACGACAATGCCGAACCCCTCAATGGATGGTCTGCCAAGGACGTCCAAGAGACTCAGACCGGGCCTGCGACCGCCGACATCTACGGCAAGCTCTTCATCAGCCTTCGTACGGTACTTCGGGCATTTCTCCGTCGTCTTTCAAGCTCGCAGACCTCATTTAGACTGTTCCAAGTGGATGCATCTGCTCTTCCCAGGTTCTTGGAGAACAGCACCTTCAGCCGGATTGAGGTAAGTAGACATTAACACCTACAATACGGCGAAAATCTTCAGCTAACATCTCTCGTACAGGTCTCCAACATCTCCGATGCCGGATATCTCGGCATCCATCACACGCTCAACCTGATGATTCCCCTCCTTCAAAGCCCTCTCGTCGACCCCCACGGGACGCTGATCACACTGTTCATGAACGCTGTGGATGAGAATGCCACCGAAATGGAAAGGCTTACAGACATGAAGGCGGATGGCATGGTGATGAAGCGCATTCACAAGTACCTATCGCCCAGCGGAAGACCGCTCAATTATTACGACACCACAATCTTCAAAATCATGGCTGCTCGGGATTGTGTCCCAACTTATGACCACGTCTTTGACCGGTAAGTAGCGTGGTGGAGCTGTTTGCTGTGCGTTTTTGCGGCGTATGCTAACTAGTAACTACACTCCAAGGCACGCTGCGAAGCTTATGTTCTGCCAGAGTGCTCAATTGGTTGGAGCCGCGATGAAGGGAAGCCACACTGTGATCGAGAAGTGGCCGTTCAGATTGAAGCTGAGGCCCGGACAGACGGGCGCTCAGGAGGAGTTTGATCGCCTTCTCGGAGGAAGAGTTTCGAGCAAGGAGCGTTACGTGGAGTGGAAGAGAGTTTGAGTGTCAGGATGAGGCATAGAAGACGCGGAGTGCGAATCAAGGACGACGCGGTGGACGCTATTATATAGCCATGCCCCCTTCCACTCATAGGAACATAAGAGTACTTACGACCTTTTTATCTGTGTCCTACAGCTCTGGGTCTGTTATTTTGATTTGCAGCTTCTGGTTATTGGGATGGTCATGATATTGTTGAGAGCAAAAGCTCCGAAATATTAGGACGTATTGTTGCTGCCTTAGTCTATAAACAGCTTGAGCAGAATATTAAGGTTGTTACGACGCGCACTACCTGTTTTTGGCCGCCATCTCGAGGAGGCTTGTTTACCAAGATGGTCTTCTGGGCTTCCTGTTCCACCCCTTCTGGAGCAGTAGTGAATCCTCGAATTTCCACATGCATGCACATCAGAGCAAGACCTGGGAACAATAGCCAGCATCTGGGAATCCAAGCACTTGATGAGATTTCCTCCTTTGATCCACTTCATTAGGTAGCTGCTTTCCAATCTGCTACTGCCTTCTTTCATCCTATTGTAGAGGAAGGCAGCTGTTTCCTCATTCCTCATCCAGCCAGGCCGCTCCTTCTCTTTCAAGACCGCAGGCTGCTTCCAAGGCCCCTCCTTCCAGCTAGCAATTTAGCATCTAGCGCCTTCTCTTCTCTTCCTCCTACATCACCACATCCCTCGACCGATTTTCATTACCCAGCCGAGCCAGCAGCTCTCTCCTTCGCACGTATCAACCGACCGCTCCCAGTCGCTATCAACTGCTAGGGGAGCATCCAAAGGCACAACTTCCTTCCTCAACAACCACGAACCAGGCACGATGTATGCTGCTACCGCAAATCCCAAGCTGTCGGGTGACCCGAAGCCGGCCGAGGAGATGATGCTTTGCGCTATCCGCCCTATGTTGGTCAAGCCTGGTATCCTCCCCCATAACGATCCTGGTCACAATACCCTCAGAACCTTCATCGATCTCCTCGACACCACCGCTACTGAGAAGGAGCAACGTCTGAAGGTCTCTCCTTTTAGAGCCGTGGGCAACACTTTCGACTTCAGGGACCCCGCCAAGTGCCACCTGCCGAACGTTTGGCAGTTCGCTGACCAGGCCGACCTCGCTCGCCTATACGACGCCGTTTTCCGCAGCGACAAACAGCCTGACTTCGTCAAGGCCGCCAACCTTCAGATCTACATCTGGTTTCCCCAGCGTGGGCCCCAGCCTTCCAAGAAGCCCAACTTCCACCATCTGATTGACATCCGGAACCTTACCCTCTACGGCTGGTGTGGATGTCTCCCCCGCGACGACCCAAAGGTAAATTTAGATGATCAATCTCTCCCTACACATTATCACTGATACTTAGTATCTATGTCACAGACGAGCCGAACGTTAGTTCTGACGACGGACCGCGTGTTTGAGGACTGTCCGCACTGGTCAAAGTACCCTGCTACACCCGTTAATCACCTTTCTGGTAGCCACGCGGCGGCGTCCCATGGCCCCCCTCCCGTCCCGATTGGTGTCATCAACGGTCACTTCCCCCACGGGGTGCTATACCCACCTCCACCAGAGGACGAGAACCCGAACGTCGTCCCTTACCATATCTACGGTGGCATCCACTTGAACCATAGCCGCGGACTAGCACTACCGCCCCCAGGCATCCTCTCGAATGACCAGCCTGCGTGGCCTGAGTCGCACATCGTCCCCAGGGAAATTTACCTGAGCTCGTCGACATCGCAGCAGTAGGCCCCGCCGATAGCCACGCCACGGACTCATCAAGTCTCGGCCGTCGGGTGCAGGCTAGAAGAATGCAGGGAATGCAGGGCGAGCTGACGCACTTATGTTCGTGAGGTTGCCGATGATGGAAGGGGGAAGGAAAGGAAGAACACACCATATGTGTATATTACGTTAAGGGCGAGGAAGTCCGCGGGGTTGTGAACATGACGGCAAGTCGCAGCTGGGGGTATAGCGTCTTATTGAGGGCTAGGGAACCTATCATATCGCGAGGATGGTAATTTTCACATGGGAGGGAACCGCGAACATACGTATTGCAGTAAGCAAATCATTTTTTATTATGGCCTTAGTAGAGTGAGTGGCCGACTATTTCAAAGAAAGGCAAACAATTGTGACGAAGGTTGTGCGGCCGGTCCATGCCAAATCTTGTGGAGGAAGAGGGGCGAGGTGCGATAATCAGGGATTCCAAGTGGTCCCTGAGACTGGAGGTTGGGCTCCGTACGTCCGTCTACCACTACTCCGTACATAGTTGATATTAAGGAGTTTTGTCGCAAGATTACGTCTTATCTGCTTTGCAGGTTCTGCTGCTGATCACTGCCTTAAGCGTGAAGCAGTTTAAGCTCCGGCCAATTCCACGACAGGCACAACTTGTTGTTCGATCCGCCATGGCGCAAACGGTGCAGGAGCGAAAAGGGCGAGGTAATGAAACTGAGAGTGAGGGACTCAAGCGTGTCTTAAGAGAACCAGAAGACATGTAAGAAGGTGTGAGAGAACAATAACACTGTATTGAAGTGGTGGTGATGTCTGTGGAAGGAACTAGCTGGGCCGGGTTGGCTGGCGGAGACTGGAAGACCCTGGGGCCGGGTGGCGTCACAGCCGTGGGCACCTGGTGGCGCCCGAACCCCAACAGAAGGAAAAATAACAGGAAGGGTCGGGGAGAGTAAAGAAGAGAGACGCAGAGGCCCGGCGGCCTAACACGTAGGCCCCTCACGCCCAGCCATCCCTCGCAGGAAATCGAGCATAACGAAAAGGTCTTGGGGGAGGTGGGTGGAGGTGAAAGTGAGGCGACGTTGAGAAGTCCAGGGAGGAAGATGGCGGGGGCGTGAGAGAAGGTCGATTTCGTCGGGGAGGGGAAGGGGGTGGGCGGATAGAAGTAGTTACGGACGGAGGACGGTGCGGCGGCGCAGAGGTGGAGACACAGACGGGCACCGTTTCGCGTGCTGAGTCATCTGGGATCCTGCTCTTCTAGATGAGCCCCCCCTCATTAGCTTATCTATGGGAGAGCGGACAGGATCCCGAGTTTTCCAATGGGTATGGTCATATGTGCCTGTTGGTGCCCGCACATTCATATATATAGGTATTGACGATCTGGCTACCTGCCGTGCCTGCGTGTGCGGCTTCGTCATCGGTGAGTTTTCTATCGACAGCGCATTCTAGGTAAAAATAACACCCATTGATATTGGCATATGACTCTGCAGATACAAGGTTTTGAGAATGCGGTCCTTGAGTATTACTGAGACGGCAACAGCAATCTCAGACGGGCGGCCGCGATTCGGTGCACGACGCCCCACAGCTCCGTCTTAGTGTATACCTTAAGCCGTTCAAGGCTCGGGTAAAGTGGGTCCAGCACCGGGTTGGGTCCCGGGTTGGGTCCATAGCGGTCACCTCTGAGACAAATCTTTGTGGAGCTGCCTCCCATCTGAAGCCGAGGCAATTCTTTCCTACAAGTCAACGGCGGGCAACCCAGTATCTATCTGATTTGAAGTTCAGCATGATCTGTGCAGCACGGGAAAGGGGCAGAAGCTCGACACCTGGATAGAGACTGGCCCCATGAGCTGGTGTAGCTGCTTAAAGGGGCTGCTGCCTGTGCGTCGCGAGACATGCTTTCCGGAAATGCCGTCAGACGGATGCTCTCTCTCCGATTGGTGCAGTCTTCTTTCTCTCAGTTTTCCATTCAACCCAAGGTCACTCCTGCCTTTCAACGCCTCTCCTTCTCATCCAGAACCTCACTGGGAAATGGCTGCCCCGTAGGTTGCAATAGCACGCGAGACAGTGCCTTCTGTCGGATGCTTCGAAACCATAAGGTAGCCACCACTTAACACTCCTTCCCGGTTATCCACCTTTCGTCTTCAGGGTAAGTCAGGTTCCTCGGTGGTGTACACTTCCCAGAAACTTGGGCGACGCTTTCCACTGACTTCAGGGCAGCCCAAATCTGGTTCCAAAATCAAAAGTCCCAGATGAACGCCACTCTCTTTGCCCCAACGCTGCCCCGACAATCGTATTTTCCCATTTCCTTTTTTGTCGCACCCGCTACTCGGACGGCTTTTCGATCATCCATTTGCCACATTCTCAATCCCCGCGAGTTATTCGACTGCATGCTTCGCATCACGATGCCTGACCGCGGCTACACATTTTCCGACGACGTTCGTGATGCAATGTCACCTATACTCGAGCTCGACGAAGACAACGAATCACATCCCGAAACTACAGTCAACGATCACCAACGTCTCGAAGATGACCACACAAGCGACCAGAGTGGACCCAGTGCCAGTGCCGACAACTCCCCTCCACAACAAACTCCGGATCGGCCCGAAGGCTGCGAGTACTCGCTAGGCTCAAAGCCTTACCTCTTCAAGCTCTGTGGCCATGTCAGTTGTCCCCAACTCCCCGCCTTACCCTTTTCCAAGTCCGTGCCGGAAGCTTGGCTGACTTGGCGGGTAGCGGTTGTGTCGATCCTGCTACCGTCACAATCCCATATGCTGCAACAAGGACCAATCTGTCATATTCGTCTACCCTGAGGACAGGTGCCCCGTGTGCCTTTGTGACGACAAGCCAATGGGAATCGCTAGCTGCGGTAAGTGATTCCACGCCCTGTCCTCCAATAATGCGACTTCCGGAACTCTGATCCCGTCAAAAGGCCACTCAAAGTGCGATGAATGCTGGCTGTTACCAACTCTTTTGGCTGAGGACAGCTTCAGTCTATGCGCTGTATGCAAAGAGCCATGGAAGGAGACTCCAATACATAGGTACATGCTACAGAAGCAGATCGAGCTGCCGTCATCCCCTGAATAAGATTGGTGCCTTGACGGGGGACTCAGCAGACTACTTCCATTTCTCAGCCATACTGTCCCCAAGCGGTGTTATGTCGAAGGGCTTTTCGTGGCGCCTTCATTTGTTTCGGTTTCCTGTGTGAAGACACTCATGCAGACCTAGCGTCAAAAGAATATCATCATTTTCGTTGGAATCTGGTGCACTCAATCTTCTCTGTCGCGAATGCCAGAACGGTATTCTATTCACCTTCAAAATCTACTGAGTCCTTCGCCTCCTCGTCCGTGTCGTGATCACGACGGAGTCATTGCTGGTAGCAGGCATCAAGGTTGCAAATTGCAACCGCTCAACTTTGTCTCCCCTCCCACCCCATGGGTATCCCGCAAGTACTGGACTAAGATCCAGTCAACTTGGCGCCTCTCCATGTACTCGTGAATCTTTCCAGGAGGCTCGCCCTCACTGGCTAATACACATTGCTACAATAATTTCAGTGTTGCTCTCTATCTCCATGATCCGCATCACCACGATCTATTTTGCTAGATACTACGCTCTGAGTCAGAGCGTTCTGATTCTCCCGCTGCCAACCCTGCCATCTTATCCGGCCAATCACCGTAATTTCCCATTCTGGTCTACACCCTGGCCCCTTCGACTTCAAGGCACAGCGACGAATCCACCCGCTACAGTGCGAGCATCTATAGCTCAACTGCGGCCTAACGCCAGCACATCGAGTAGCCAGATTTTCTCCAATTTTGTTCCCATTGAATTTCTTGTTCGCTTAAATAAAGTGTGCATTAGCCAAAAAAATATTTGATCATCTGTACACCGCATACCTATGTACTGGCGTCATGGAGTCGTCGATGAGGTAGCAACCGACAGAGGGCGCCAGCAGCCAATCTTCGGTCTCTGGTGAAAAACAGCTGTAGCTATGCCACAGGACCGGGTCAACCACAGATATATCGCACTCCGAAAGCCACAAAGACTACATGGATCTAATCCTGACGATAGTTAAGGATGTCTCATTCGAATTCCAATAGTCCATCGAGAGACCGCGACATCTGGTACCGTCGACTTCGCTGATGGTGACGGCAAGGATAACAGGCCTCACAGTTTCGTCCTAGTATACGTGGTCGCCAATAAATAACGCTCGACTTAATATACCATTGCAGCGCTACTAACCGACCAAGTCGAATCAAACAAATCAATCAATCAGCTAATCAAACCAAGGCTATTCAGCGAAGCAAATAATCAAGTTATCATCGCCCTAGATTTAGACGATTTGATGAAATCGGCGCTAGCCCGGATTATATATAATCCGGTCTCCGGACTAATCGGAGGCCACGGATTAACCCAGAGGCCCCGCCCTAGCCTGGGTCATCCGGCCCCACCTAGCCCCGAACGCGGCCCCATTAGCCGGGCTAAAAAGCCCGGCCCCCGCCGTTCTCGAACCCACGGCCTAGAAAAGTGGGTCGACGAAAAAAAAAAGCCGCGCCTGCGGCGTACTTTACTACTACGCTACGAAGCTCCTTTATCGATTAAGTTTATTAAATCAAGTTCACATAAACCAAACAGCCAAACCGATCGTGATTTTTAGACCAAACAGTCAAATCAGACCCCTCGATTTGACTTGATTGATCGGTTAGTAGCGCTGTACCATTGTACTATTTCTTCCTGTTAAGCCTAGCAACGAGCCGCAAACGTACTTTTAGGTGTCAATCTCAGCTTTTAAACATCTCCAATCACTGAATCATAGCTTCGAACCTAAACTATTCGTCGATATTTCTCTCGGTATGTTTGCCCACAGGGGAGTCGGTGCAGGGAAGTCGGCATTAAGAGAGCCCAGCTCGAAGACAGAGTCGGCTAATTCAAAAACCAACTGTAGCAATGAAGGGCGGCAATTTGCCCGCGCGCGGCGCGCCGTCCATCGAGCGTGCCACCACCGATCTAGTGGGGTTGCTGATCTACTC